ATCAGTAGTTATGTAACATTTTTACATAGTTACTGATTTCCTTTTACATTTGTTTACCTTGATTCAATAGAGGAACTTTCCTTTACATTAATTTGTTTAATAAGATAACTGTCAAAGCCAAATATAAACAAGTTGCTTTCATCATTAAAGAAATGGCTTACCTATCCAAGCAACATACACACATATCAAACCAAAATCACTAATCTACGTTTTAGCTATTGCTGTCACCCGAAATAAAATATTTTACTTCAAAATTCCAAAACAATAAGTGCAATCAATAAAAATGTGTGTGTTTCCAGATCTTTAGCGGAAAGGCTGGGGGCTAGCGAGAGGTATGGAATGTTGCTCCTTTTCCAAGTTAATGCCGTTCATTAATCTAATCTTAGATATTTTTTAGATTTGACGCCATTATATGTCTCGCTGCCTCCACCCCACCCCCAAGATAAGAAAAGTTGGAGCTGGGACTGGTTACAGTTATCTTTAAATATACTGGGAAAGGTAATGTGACATTAAACATGCGTCTGTATCGTATATGATAATTTTACGCGGTTCTGGTGCTCGTATATAAAACGAAATTGTGGAGTGAGTCAGGGTTTTGTCAAAAAGATCGACAAAATTCTTGGGAACCCTTTTTTTATCAACCCATATAAACGTAAGAGATTTGGAGTGAATGTTTCAAATGCGTGAACTTTTTCTGATTTTTAGCTACTGGTCAGATGGTTGATGTGCCGAGTTGCGGATCTAAAGGTCCAAAGCTCGAGTCGCAATATGCCATGAACACGCTCTGCACTTTCAGTTGTGGGGACATTATATCCATAAAAGGCAACTCTGCTATTCTATTGAAGCGGCGAGTGCTAAGATCTAGTTGCCCTCTCTCAGCAGTCTTGTACACATCGTTTTACCAAATACCAGTAATGTTCCTTTTAATTTCTGTGTCTGAGTAAAGCTCATTTCTTGGTTAAATAGACCACCTGTCAATCTGCCAGGATGCATCCAGCCCCACGACAGAGTTTATCCAATTAGCATATTCAGTATCAATTATGTACTAAATTTAAATTTGAGTCATAAAAATCTCCAAACACACGTTAATGGGAAAGTAGTTTTTAAACAAGCCATACAAAGAAAAAGCTATGGCTCTCCAATGCTGTAACTTTCAACAAGTCACACAAGGAACAAGTTATAGCTCTTTAATGTTGTCACTTTCAACGAGTCACACAAGAAACGAGTTACAGCTCTCTAATACTGTCATTTTCTACAACAAACAAGTTATGGTTCTCTAATGCAGTCACTTTCTACAAGTCACACAAGGAACAAGTTATAGCTCTCTAATACTGTCACTTTCAAATAGTAACACAAGGACCAAATTATGGTTTTTCTAATGCTGTCAATTGCAACAAGTAATACAAGAAACAAGTTCTATCTCTCTAATGCTGTCACTTTCAACAAGTCACACGGGAAACAAGTTATGGTTCTCTAATACTGTCATTTTCTACAAGTCACACAAGAAACAAGATATAGCTCTCTAATGCTGTAACTTTCAACAAGTCACACGGGAAACAAGTTATGGTTCTCTAATACTGTCATTTTCTACAAGTCACACAAGAAACAAGATATAGCTCTCCAATGTTGTCATCTTCCACAAGTCGCACAAGAAACAAGTTATGGTTCTCTAATGCTATCACTTTAAACAATGCACACAAGAAACAAGTTATAGCTCTCTAATGCTGTCACTTTCAACAAGTCACACAAGGAATAAGTTATGGTTCACTAATACTGTCACTTTTTACAAGTCACACAAGAAACAAGCTATAGCTCTTTAAAGCTGTAACTTTCAACAAGTCGCACAAGGAACAAGCTATGGTTCTCTAATATTGTCTCTTTCTTCAACGCACACAATAAACAAGTTATAGCTCTACAATGTTCTCATCTTCTTCAACTCACACAAGAAACCAGTTATAGCTCTAAAATGTTCTTATCTTCTACAACTCACACAAGAAACAAGTTATAGCTCTACAATGTTCTTATATTCTACAAGTCGCACCAGAAACAAGTTATAGCTCTCCAATGTTCTCATTTTCTACAAGTCGCACAAGAAAAAATTTATAACTCTCCAATGTTCCCAACTTCTACAAGTCGCACAAAAAACAAGTCATGGTTCTCTAATACTGTCACTTTCAACAAGCCACACAAGAAACAAGTTATAGCTCTACAATGTTCTCATCTTCTTCAACTCACTCAAGAAACAAGTTCTGGTTCTCTAAGGCTGTCACTTTCTACAAGTCACACAAGAAAGAAGTTATGGTTCTCTTATGCTGTCATACACAAGGAACAAATTGAGCTTCTCTAATGCTGTCACTTTCTACAAGTCACACAAGCAACGAGTTATGGTTCTCTAATGCTCTGTCACTTTCTACAAGTCACACAAGAAAAACGTTATAGCTCTCCAATGTCCCCATCTTCTACAACTCACACAAGAAACAAGTTATAGCTCTCCAATGTTCTCATCTTCTTCAACTCACACAAGACACCAGTAATAGCTCTCCAATGTTCTCATCTTCTACAACTCACACAAGAAATAAGTAATAGCTCTCCAATGTTCTCATCTTCTATAAGTCGCACAAGAAACAAGTTATGGTTCTCTAATGCTTTCACATTAAACAAGTCACACAAGGAACAAGTTATGTTTTTTATTGCTGTCACTTTCTACAAGTCAGAGAAGGAACAAGTTATGGTTTTTTATTGCTGTCACTTTCTACAAGTCACACAAGGAACAAGTTATTGTTCTTAAATGCTGTCACTTTCTATAAGTCACATAAAAAACAAAATATTGCTCTCTCATGCTGTCACTTTCTACAAGTCACAGAAGAAACAAGTTATGGTTCTCTAATGCTGTCGCTATCTACAAGTCACACAAGAAACAAGTTATAGCTCTCCAATGTTATCAACTTCTACAAGTCGCACAAATAACTTGTTTCGATTCTCTAATGCTGTAACTTTCTAAAAGTCACACAAGAAACAAGTTATAGCTCTCTAATACTGTTATTTTCTTCAAGTTACACAAGTAACAAGATATAGCTCTCCAATGTTCTCATCTTCAACAAGTCGCACAAGAAACAAGTTATGGTTCTCTAATGCTGTCACTTTCTACAAGTCACACAAGGAGCAAGTTATGGTTCTCTAATGCTGTTACTTTCAACAAGTCACATGAGAAACAAGATATAGCTCTACAATGTTCTTATCTTCTACAAGTCGCACGAGAAACAAGTTATAGCTCTCCAATGTTCTCATTTTCTACAAGTCGCACAAGAAACAATTTATAGCTCTCCAATGTTTCCATTTTCTACAATTCCC